CAAGGAACTGAACTGCTCTTAGCATTGTTTTATTCTCAGTTTTGGTGAATCTGCTACCTGCAAAGTGGAGTCCCAGCTAGGAACAAAAATCAGGAAATTTGAAGAGCCCACTTAAAGATTCATCCTTCTTTGTCCTGAATGAATTTGTTGGCCACTGGAGAAGCAGCTTTTGCACCTTTAGGTGCACAACTGTAGAACTTGTGATCAGCTCCCTAAATTATACTGCCTTTAATAAAGGATTCAAAGTATTCGGAATTTAACCTTTTAAAACTGAGTTAGTTCTAAAACTTTAACTCTTTTAATGAGATGATTATTATTGGATGGATATAAATTGTAACGGTGATGATGATGATGATGATGATGATGAGCTTACTGGCAACATTACATGGCAGAGGTATGTGTCCTGCCTTTTGTATGGCTATGTTCCCATGACATGTTAAAACTGAATTAGTGGAAGGGTTAGCATGTCGTGAGAATTCTAAAAGGAGGTCAACTGATCCAATCAGTTAACTCCTAAAGTGGCAGATTTAGCATTTTATGGCCAACTGAGGCCATCTGGATTTTGCTTCCAGATCTGATAACTCCTAGTTATAACATCTGAATTGGGCCTACACAAGCTGTGGTGGTGCAGTGGTTAGAATGTAGGCTAATTCTGCTGACTGCCAGTAGTCCAATCCTCACCGGCTCAAACTTGTGTTTTTCCCTGCCCACCTGGAAGTGGTAACTGTTAAGGGGAAAACTTTGGCAACCAGCAACATATTCCTTAGCAACTGTTTTGCTTTTATTATTTTATTTTATTTTATTTTATTTTATTTTATTTTATTTTATTTTATTTTTTTTATTTTATTTTATTTTATTTTATTTTATTATTTTATTTTATTTATTATTTTATTTTATTTTATTTATTATTTTTTTATTTTATTTTATTTTATTTTATTTTATTTATTATTTTATTTTATTTTATTTTATTTTATTTTATTTATTTTATTTTATTTTATTTTATTTTATTTTATTTTATTTTATTTTGGTTTTGTTTTGTTTTGTTTTGTTTTGCTTTTGTTTTTGTTTTTTCTTTTGCTTTTGAAGTATCTATATTCCTACCCTAACCCTAACCCTAACCTAAGTGATACACTGGGAATTGCTCTCCGGCAGCTCTGCGATACAAGAGGCGGGGCAGTTGAAGGAATGCAAGGCACATGAGAAAACGTCTGAGTCTGAGCTAACTCTATACCACATTCCATTAAAGACTGGCTGTCAGAGCTCTGACATTTTTACTATTTTACTATTTTATCTGGCCTAACCAAACACCAATAAAAGTACTTTCTAGGATATGACTGGAATTGGTCTGTTTGCTGAAAGATCTATTTTTGATGGGAAGGAGGACTGTAAATGATATGCTTAGGTTGCCTCTCTCACCAATAAATTGCTTGTAAAGTTGTAGAACATCATCAGAAACGTCTGGTTTCCCCAGATATCTACAAACTTGATTATAGCTTTATTAAAAGACTGGCTTCCCTAAAGAGACTTAGTGGGAAGAAACTTGAAATACAGGCCTATGATAACTTGGCTGTATTCATCTTCACTGAGAGATAAAACCAAGAGTGTTCATGGAGTGAACAGGCACAGCTGTATAATTGAAGTTTTTCCTCTTTTATACTTGTATGGCAAGGAATCTGGTATCAGTTGTGATGCTGGGCCAGCCATCTTGCAGACACTGGCACACACACACCTGTCCTTGAAGATGTTTATGGGTACAATGATAAAAAAAAAACCATTTAAAAACAGGCCAGGATTAAATCTGAAAATCTAAAAGGGTGCAGTGTCCGCACCTGTTAAATTATGGTCTATTGCTAAAGATCAAATTAGTGTATTAAATTGATTATTATTTAGTAAATATGATCTTACAAAGAATACAGCAAAAACCTGCTGAAGGGGACTCAACCAGATGCCTTAAAATGTATTTTAGAGAGTACAATGCCCTGCTGCATTTTGTGTGTGTGCGTGTGTGTAGCAAAAGTGTCAGGAGAAGAGAAGAGAAGAGAAGAGAAGAGAAGAGAAGAGAAGAGAAGAGAAGAGTTGGAAAGATGTATTGGACATTTTTTAGTCCAACTCCCTGCTCAAGCAGGAGGCCCTATTCCAGTGATAGTTAAACTTTTTGGTGCCGAGTGCCCAAAGCGCGTGTGTGTGCATGCGAATGCACGCATGCATGCCTGAACCACCAAAATGCAATGCGAGTGCCCCCACAAATGTGCCCTGCTCCCCCCCCCGTGCATGTGCCTGGCCCCCTGTGCCTCTTTTTGGCTTCTAGGTTGGTGCAGCAGGCTTTCCAAGCCCAAAACATTTTGGGTCTGGAAAGCCTCCTGCACCAACCTGCACCTCCCTGTGCATGTGCCCCGCCCCCTGTGCATGCGCAGCAGAGACCCGAAGACCAACTGGCTGGCAGGAGGCGCGCACACATGCGTGGTGGAGCTGGGCTGGGGCAATGGCTGGCATGCCCGTAGAGAGGGCTCTGCATGCCATCTGTGGCACGTGTGCCATAGGTTCGCCATCACGGCCCTATACCATTACGTACAAATGGCTGGCCAATCTCTTCTTTGAAACCTCCGGTGATGGGGCACCTACAGCTTCTGGAAGCAAGTCGTTCCACTGATTAATCCTTCTCACTGTCAGGAAATTTCTCCTTAGTTCTATCTTGGCTCTCTCTTTGATAAGCTTCCACCTTCTTCCCTTGCCCTTAGGTGCTTTGCATAATAAATTCAACCAATCTATCAGAATAGAGCTGGAAGGGCCCTTAGAGGTCTTCTAGTCCAACCCCCTGCTCAAGCAGGAGACCCTATACCATTTCAGACAAGTGACTGTTCAGTCACTTCTTAAAAACCTCCAACGATGGAGCACCCTCAATTTCTGATGGCAAATGGATGCCCTCTTCCCCTGTGACAATCCTTCAAGTATTCTAAGACTGCTATCATGCCACCCCTAGTCCTTCTCTTCGATACTTTTTTATATGCATTACTGTCAGAGAAGAAAGTTTTCACTTTTCACTTTAGGTAACCAGATGTATTTTCTTTCTTAGGTTCAGAAATGATGAGGCTGCCAATTGAAAAGGTCACAGGTCACACATTACAAACTGCAGGTATGGAAGTTTTATAAATTTTATATGCCTATAGTCCTCTCTCTGTTAAACTTGTGACTTTTGTGTGATTGTGACTTTTAGCCTTCTCATTTTCCCTTGCTTTTGGCATGGCCATCTTGGACTTCGAAAAGGGCAACTCTACCTTCAACGGTTCTCAATTATTGTTCCTCTGCCTGTGAGGAACCTTCCTGCTACTCCATTGTTACTTCCATTGTTACTTCAAGGCAAGCACAGCCTTGCTAGGGGTTTCTACCACCAACGAAGAGATCAAGCTTCTCAGATGAAACCTAACTAAAACTGGTCTTCATGTGACTTCAAGTGTACATTGTTTGAAATCTACATGTTCTACAAGAATAGCTTGCCTTCAGAAGTTGTGGGTGCTCCATCACCGGAGGTTTTTAAGATGAGACTGGACAGCCATTTGTCTGAAATAGTATAGCGTCTTCTGTTTAAGCAGAGGAGTGAATTAGAAGACCTCCAAGGTTCCTTCCAACTCTCATTCTGTTATAATCTTCCTCGAGCCTTTTCTTAAGTGTACTGAGCTCAGTAATGCCCGGAAATCACTTTATCTGGCCTAGTTCCTGGTGGCTATTAACAATCTCTTAAAATCCCACCAAAATATTCCTTCTGTCCTCATTTCTATAAATTCATCTCCTTTTTTTTTTTTGCATTGTCCTATTGATTTAAAGTTTCCCTAAAGATAATAAATATCTAAAAATTTGTATCTGTATCCTGCAGGGGGAGATGCTACTGTTCTCCCAAATTCCTATATACGTCAAGTCTTTTTTGGGTTGATCTCTAGGCCTGGTGATTTAATAGACCCAATTGTGTTGTTTCCTTGGCAGCAAATACCAAACTAGTTTGCCCTCATCGTCTTTACTTCTCTCATGTAGCAAAAGCCTCCGGTGATTGATGGACTGAATATGCCACCCACCCCCCAGCATCTCTATATTGGATGGTTCATATCTCCCCTCCAGAGTACTATCTAGGCCTGACCTGCTTAGCTTCTAGTGAATCAGATCAGACAGGAGCTAACTGAAATGGGTTAAGGGTTAAGCAGTTTGGTTTTAGTTCTGTTTAATACAGAAGGAATGCATATTTTCTTTCTTCCCTCATCTTTTACTGAAGAAGAAAAAGGAAAGAAAGAATAAAAAGAGGCGAAGAAAATGGAAAATGATGCAAAATCATTCCTATTTAATCAGGATAACTCTTAATATTATTCTGAAGGAAGAAAGGAAGGGAGGGAAGAAGAAAGAAAAGAAAAGGTAGATGGATGGATGGATGAATGGAAGGAAGGAAGGAGGAAGGGAGGGGAGGAAGGTGGGATGGAAGGAAGCAAGGAAGGAAGGAAGAAAAAAAGAGAGAATGGGAAAGAAGAAATAAAAGATTTGCATTCTTCACTCCTTCCCTAAAAAGGACATTTTCCCAAGTTAGAGAAAAAGATTTCATTCAATCTCTGCATTATCTGGGACAGTGCCACATATGGCATACCGAACATGGCTGAAAAAGCTGTGTGGGGGAGATTGGAGGCTGTGAGTGAACTGTGCTTTCAAACCTTCAGAGGCTGCCTGAAGGCCCCTTTGCTGGGAGAAAGCTCATGGCAAAAGTGCTCTGTGCATGTTCTCAGGCTCGAGGCCAAAAGGGCTGCAAATGAGTCATGCATTTTTGGAGAGTTTTTGGACTGGGAGGGGGAAGTGAGTGATGTCATGGTCAGAGTCCAGCATTCCCAAAAAGCCAGAAGAGAGCAGCCACTGATCCCAGAGAGGAAAAATTCCAGGCATGAGAAGAATTTGGTCCTGGGAAGGAGTTTGTTCCTGGGAAATTCAAGAAAGGAGAACTAGGCGCATCCCATGTGGTTTAAGTTTACCTTTAACATATTGCCATGAACAAACTGCATATTTTTGATGTCCTTGATCCTGTTGGCTAAATAGGGAGTTTCATGCCTGACAGTTTTCTGGACTTTGATTCTTTCTCCACGTTGGGTGCACCTAGGGGGGAAGAAAAGAAAAAAGAATATTGAAACGGCTGCATCTGCTCTGACCATTCCTTCCCCAACCTCTCATCTCCCAGCTGTAGGATTACAACTCCCATGATCCTTGGCCTTGAGGTCATACTTCTGAAGGTGTTAGCAGTCCGACAATGTTAGGGACATCTTGAAGAGCTTGCTCTAAAGGATTCCTCCCACCGACTTGCTATTAATTCATTCCAGCCTCAGGATTTGGGGGGCAAGTTAAGAGCCAGTTTGGGTTAGTGGTTAAGGTACCAGGCTAGAAAGCGGGAAACTGAAAACTGACTAGGTGACTTTGGGCCAATTATCAGGACAGGGTGAGTTCTAATTAGGCACGAAAGCTAGTTGAGTGACTTTGGGCCAATCTTCCTCTCTCAGACCAATCCACCTCATAGGGTTGTTCTTATGGGGAAATAGGAGGAAGATGTGTTGGATATATTTGCCATGTTGAATTGTTTGTAAAAATAATAAAGGTGGGATACAAACAAATATCAATTTTATAAATGCGGAAACGATCAGATAAGCAAAGCAAGAATTCATTCAGCTGCTTCAGCTTTCTTTGCAAGTGCCTTAAGAAGGAGGAATGGCACTTTTGATGGTCATGAGGGATCTAACGGTGGAATACAAGCCAGGGTTCACTAATAGACAACATCATTGGGCATCTTCCAAGACCATCATTCCAGTAAGGGGCTCTCAGCCAAACTCCAATGTTTTCTGCCCAGGGTTTTTTTTTTTTGGTCTTTGCTGTATCAGCTGTTCTGGTGAATTTGTTTCTTCAAGAAACGTGGGAAAAGCCAAGAAATGGGTGGCAGGGGGTCTCTATGAGCTGGGTCAGGAGGGAGTTGCAAACCAACAGACACCCAAAACAGAGCCAATGTGCCTTTGGCTTTGGAGCATAGAAGCAAATTGCAACGATCTCTCTGCTTTGAAGGTGCAGGGGAGTCACTTGCAGACATTCAAAACTGCCATCAAGTCTCAAAATAACAAAAGAATAACAGCCATTCAGAGACTGCATTGTGCCCTACAAGGGATTTGGCCTTAGCATGTTGAGTGAACCCAGCAACATGCAAACCACAATTTGTGGCTTAGTGAGATAAGTGGATTCAGTCATTGTTGGTTTTTCAATAAACCATAATTAAAATAAACCAGGTCTTAGATGGAAAGATAATCCCAGCCCATATCCTTAGATAGCTTTAGGGAGCTACGGAGATGGCCTGATCATGCGACCGTTGAAGTTTCTTCCATCAATTATCACTTTATTCCAGATTTGCTGTCCTGACGCTTTGCAAACTAGATGATAAATCCTTTATCTCAGGATGGTGGGGAAGCTAAATGTGTAGCAATAGCAATAGCACTTAGACTTGCATAGCACTTTACAGTGCTGTACAGCCCTCTCTAAGTGGTTTACAGAGTCAGCATCTTGCCCCCAACAATCCGGGTCCTCATTTTACTGACCTCGGAAGGATGGAAGGTGGAGTCAACCTTGAGCCAGTGAGATTTGAACTGCCGAACTGCAGCCAGCAGTCAGCTGAAGTAGCCTGCAGTACTGCACTCTAACCACTGCGCCACCTCGGCTCAAAATGGCTGTAATAAGCCATTTTGTTTAATCTGAAAGTATCCAATTGAATTTATTCAGGATTTGATTCCGTGCTGGAACCCATCTTCAGGAAACTTTTCTCTATCTAGTCCAAAAGCTTGGAAGACAAAACCTCTGGTCCCAGTTACCAACCCATGTTGGATCCTGCAACATTATTCTGGGACACGTATATTCGGCTTCATTCGTGAGTATCTGATTCATTTTGGAAGCCTGTCATCTGTAGAACTACAAGGGAGATTAAAGTAGATCCTATTTTTCATATAATCAAGTGAATTTACACCTGTACCAGATTAAGGAAAGTTGTTGATATAGCTATTTAAACCACAGTTTGACCTGGATGATTGGGAATCTCCATAGATATTTAGGAGAGAGCCTTAGTATTTCCTAGGTGTATTTCCAAATGGCAGCACAGATCACGGACCAGATTCTTCGGCAGCTGCCTAGAACCAAAAGTTATTTTCTTCCATGATTTTCACACAGTTCTCTTTAGGGCAGTATTTATTGAGAAAAAAGCAACAAGAATTCCAGCAACTGAACTATTTCCCATTTAAAACTAATCTCTAAAATAGTTTTGGAGAGTTTAATTTAAAAAAAAAATATCCTTCCTATGATTTAGCAAAAAGGAGTACTTTCCACTGCTGATAGAGAAATTTGCAGCTGGTTATTTACATAATCGGTTTCTGAATCCTTATCAGCCTGGGAACCAATTATTACATCAAGAGACTATTTGTATATTATATTTAGTGCACCAGTGGTGACAGTTTCATAGCTGCTTGTAACTGGCATTAACGTATTCATTCTTGGTTTAGATCACCACTAGCTAATCCCAAGGAGCATATAATACAGCCATTCTTGAAGAATTTTCAAAAGTTTACATTAATGTGAACTAAGTCCACCAAGTGACTCATACTTAGCAATAACATGAGCATATCTGTGAAAGCTATTTTTTACATATAGTTACAAGTAAACAGCTAAAAGTAAATTAAGTTGTACTAAAACAAGAAATAGAAAGAAATTTGACAGAGTAGGCAGAAGAAAAAGGCACATTTCAACTTTAAAATAATAACAGAGTTGGAAGGGACCTTCTAGTCCAACCACCTGCTCAAGCACTCAATGACCCTAATACTATTCCAGTCAATTGGCTGTCCAGTCTCTTCTTTTCTTTTCTTTTATTTTATTAAAAATCATCTGAATATTGATATTATAAATTTGGCTTGCATTTGTTACATAGCAGTGATTTGTGTTCTTTCATAATGGCTTCTTAGCTTTTCAACAATAAGATCTACTTATCAGAAACTTCTGGATTCTGGTGGGCCTATTTAATTGTTTTAAGTCCAAATGTCATGAGAGAAGTCTGAATCTTCTGAACTGCACTTAATGTAAGGTCTTGATCCTTTGTCCTGACATTAATCTAGTCAATTAGAGATCAAAGTCAGCTGCAAAGGATCAGGAACATTAAGTTGCAGTTCAGAAGGTTTATTGCTCAAACCTGTACACAGGAATCTAGGCAACTAAAGTTCAGTACTAAAATGGCACCAGATATCGGTCAATGGAGTTCAAAAGGGTTTGAACTTGAACCGTTTGTGGCAACGTAATGACTCTAAGCTGATGACATGCTTAACTCTGCCTCCCAGCTCTTCCTGCTCTTCTCCTACACTTTTATTGTAATGTTGCAATTTCATTGATTACAAATGAAAAAGTATTCATGTATTTATTTATTTAATTTATTTGCCACTCATCTCACTATTGAATGACTCTGGAGAGCTCACAACAGCTTAATAATAGTTAATATATTATTAACAAGTATTGGAGTGTATAACACCAGACATGTCACTGGAAGGAAAGATCACAAAACCGTGTCTCACTTATTTTGACCATGTCATGCAGGGGAAATTCACTGCAAAGAGCAATTAAGAGTTAGTGGTAAGAGGAAACCAGGCCGATAAAGAACACGATGACGGGACACCATCAAAGCTGACAACAACCAGATCATAGAACAACTCAAAGAACAGTGCAAGATTGGAGAGACGTGGCCCTTAGAATCACCAAGCGTTGGACACAACTGAATGGATAACATCATCATCATCATATTATTGTTATTATTATTGTTGTTGTTGTTGTTGTTATTGTTATATCATATGCACATTTTATTTCTATCTGTGTATTTTGGCAAAGAGTGAGACTGAATAAAAATAATTTTTGAACATTATCTTCACAAGTATAAGTTTTTTGATTCATGCTTCTTCTTCTTCCTAAAATCTTTTTCAATATCTTTTTGAATTGGGGAACTGTCGTGAAAAATTCAGATTTTTTTTTTAAAATTTGATTTATATGCCGCCCTTCTCCGCAGACTCAGGGCGGCTTACAATGCGCTAAGCAATAGCCTTCATTCTTTTGTATATTTATACAAAGTCAGCTTATTGCCCCCACAAACTGGGTCCTCATTTTACCTACCTTAGAAAGGATGGAAGGCTGAGTCAACCTTGAGCCTTGGCGAGATTCAAACCTGCAGTAATTGCAGGCATCTGGTCTTAATAACCAGCTTAATAACAGGGTGCCTTAGACCACTGTGCTACCAAAGCTCTTAATTATTGAAAAATTATTGTTTTGTCCATTGACTTTGGAATGGCAAATCAGGTCAGCTTGCATTAAATGCAGACCATATAGCTCTCTAAGCCAAAGTACATGTGCAAATGACTAATACCATTTTAAAATGACACCACTGGCAACTTTCTCCAAGAGAGACATGTTATCAGGGTCAAGCAAAAATGGAGCATTTCTCAGAAAAGGAGGTTCTAGGAAGCCGTTATGATAGAGTTTTCCAAAAGTGGAGCCTTATGTGGGTTTCTAAGCCTATGTATAATGCAAAGCATCCAGTGTACATTGACCTCTTAATTTTTATGCTACAGCTCAAGCTTTTTTTCAGATCATGGATTTGCCAATTATGTTGAGATAAAATCACCACCCTTATAGAATAGAGTTTTGCTGGGACAGTCTCCAGAGATTTCCCACTGTGTGTTCTGGGGAATCAGATATTTTGTATTATTGAAATCAAAGGGGAAGGGGAAGGAAAGACATGGTCCAGAATATCTCAAAGAGAAAATTCCCATCTCTTCTCTGACTTCGCACAAACTTATTTGGCTACTAATCCAAAGATCTGTCAATGGATGAGTCTTTGAGCCACTGAAGAAGCTGCAACTGCAATGTTAGACAGTGAAAAGAAGGACTAGGGGTGACATGATAGCAATGTTCCAATATTTGAGGGGCTGCCACAAAGAAGGGGGTCAATCTATTTTCCAAAACACCAGAAGGCAGGACAAGAAGCAATGGATGGAAACTAACCAAGGAGGGAATCAACTAAGGAGAAATTCCCCAACAGAACAATTAACCAGTGGAACAGATTCCCTCCAGAAATTGTGGGTGCTCCCTCACTGGAGGTTTTTAAAGAAGAGAATGGACAGTGACTTGTCTGGAATGATATAGAGGCTCCTGCTTGAGCAGGGGGTTGGACTGGAAGACCTCCAAGGTCCCTTCCAACTCTGTTGCTATTCTGTTATTTTTCTACAGATGTTCTTCCTGTGATAGTAACTCCCTACCCCCCAGAAAAACTTGAAGAGGGGGAGAGAGAGAACATAGATTAGTTCTTTAATGTTCTTTCATCTGTCCTTTATTGTTTTGTGTGGAAAACCAGACTCCTTCCAAAATTTCTTCCTGCAGCAGAGAAGGGTTAAAGTGCATGAAGATTGTTACCTTTGGCTCCAACTGGCATTCACCAAGAGAAGTATTTTCCATTCAGGCTTGAGCCAAAGGTCTCCTATAGTTGTTCTGCTAATATTTCAACAGGAACAAAGGAAATTGCCTGTTTGTCTACAAGCAACAGGCAACATTGCATGCTTATCTCAACAAAATCCCTGTTTAGCACATTTGAGCTTCACCATCCCCCCCTCCTCTGCTCCTACAAGGTTGTCTCTTGTTAGAATCTACCAACTTATCACTATGTTTGTGTGCTGAGTGTAGGATGGAACTAAAGACAGGTAGCTGCTTTGAACATCACTGCAAAGAGCAGAACAGACAAAGAATGTCTGTGTCTTTGGGGCAGATCTGTAGAATGTGATGTTCCAAAGCAATGAAAGCATATCTTATTGGATTCAGAGTTTCTCTGAGCTTAGTTGTTTTCCAGCAGATGTTTCTTGCAAACTCAAAGAACACCAAGAACCCAACAGTTCCATCTTGAGTTATGTATGTTTGGTATTATTCAAAGAATATGTAATGTGCAGAAAGTCAGGCTCCAGCTTCTTCAGTTAGAAGAATCTCAGATAAGATACCTGTCTGAGCCATAAGAAGATGAAAATAGCTAAAATGTCTTCTAATCCAACATCACCACAGTGGCAACTAGGTATCTCTAAAGCCAAAGTAGGACCTGAAGCCAATCGTTTGCTCTAACTGGAAGTAAGAGATGTTCAGTGAAAACTATGTCTGTCTCTGGAGGCTACCAGGACCATCATGACTAATATCTTTTCATAGTCTTCTCCTTCATGAATTTGTCTCATCAGAGGTTGTCTAAAGAAGAGGGCCACCACAACATCTTGTTTGTATTCCCAAATCCTTTGCATCAATCGTGTGTTGTGGGGAAGATGAGGTTGTCCACTTTAAGTCCAAGTCAATATTGGTAGCCCTTGGTTGGCCTCCATATTAGATACTTCTATATTTTATCATGGTGCCAATTCTTGCAGGTCCTGGAGAAGCTACATCGTTCTCTCCATGTTTCTTGACTCTGTGGATTGCTAATAGTGCCTCTGCCAGCCTCGATTTTCACCTTATCTCCTTTCTGAGACAATAACTCCTGTGATTTGCTCTTTCCCCAGTGGAAATCATTAAAACTCTGCTCGTTCTCATCTGTTTTTCGTGCCCTTTGTACAGCACAGGCTGCATCTATTTGTTCACACTCACAAAGGGTAATAGCATAATAATGCCTAGGCAGCTTCTCTTTATAATCCCAGAATTATAAATTTCATAATAGATGGAGTATATCTTTTTAGAGCGGAGGGGGAAACGTGGATATTATCTTGGGCTCACAGATGTGGGTGGAGGAGTAATTTCAAAAGACAGTTCATTATCGGAGCTGATAAGAAAGATTTATACATGTTATTCATGGCACTACAACTAACAAACTAGATCCCTACATCTTTTTTAGCATGTTTGGAGAGAGCAGAAATGGATTGAAGGAAAAGAAAGGACATATCAAGGTCATATGTCATATTAGGCTCCTCTCTAATTTTCTGCTCATAATCCTCTGGGCCACAGGTGTCTATGGGTGGGCAGGATCAAAAAAGTCAAGATGTGTAACAAAAAGCGATGGGGTTTCAATCATGCGGTTGCAACCACCATCTTGGCTTTATGTCCACCTCTGCTGATCACACTGGATTCCACTGGCCAAAAGAGAAAGTAACTGTCACTAAAGCTTCCTAGTCACCTCATGTCTGAATGAGGTGTTCATAATCCAAGTCCAACATGCGAACTTGCTACACTATTCTAAAATTCTCATTTTAGATTGAATTCCCATCTTCAGCTCCATCAAAAGCAGGACTTAACAACACAGAGACCAGATCTATTCTCAAAATACCACTCACTGTCTGCTGTTTGGGCCTTGTTCTTTGCTTCTCAACACAGAGTGGACAAAGCCAACTTGGTCTCCGAACCGGCTGAGTCCATGAGATACATTCAGCGGGGGCCTGTTTATTTCCTTTGAAGCAGCTGTTTCAGTTGGAATCTTTAAAGAACTTCAAGACTTCCCACTGGGCTATCAATGTTTTTTGGTAGTTGTTTATGTGGAAGAACTTTAACTCCTTGCAGGCAGATTAGCTGGGGTAATGCCTCCTTTCAAATCTGGCTGTAATTCTCAGATTTTGGTCAGCTGATATGAGACTAGGGCAATGTGAGCCTCTGTCATTTAATGGGTAGAGCCCAAAAGTTCAAGGACAGGTTCTATTGAAGGGGTGGGGCTTTGCAGTCACCTGATAACGTCCTTTTGTTGCTGAATTACTTCCCCTCAATTCAGTAAATGCAATCTATCCTGTCTTTATGGGCATTTTCACCATGGCCAGTGAAGAATTTACTTACAATATTCATCAGTTCCAGAGGTTTGAAGAAAGTAAGTCAAATCCATACAGGAAACTTACTTCGTTATTTTCATAGCTAAATGAAACCTTCATGTTTGACCAAATACTGGGAACAACCCATGAAATGTTTTTTTAATGTTGTGCTGATGGATAAATTTCTGCAATGGAAGACAAATGTCCAACTAGATGGCTCTCTGGTGTAATGAAGGATTGTTCTTATCATTTTGACTCACACTTTGTCTTTTACAGCTTCTTCCATAGTTTAAGAGCTGAAGGAACACTATCCTACTTGAAAGGCTAAAGCTGATAGAAGAAAATCTTTGTAGCTCAGGACTGAACTGTGGGGCTCTTGAGCTCACTGAGCTTCTCTTGCATGACCCAACTAGGTAACATCATGAATACCAGATGAGAATGGAATTTAAAGAATGGAGGAGGAGCAGAAGGAGGAGGAGGAGGAAGAAGAAGAGAACTGCAGGGTTCTTGATGCTCTATGAGCTTGGTGGGGTTTTTTTTGTAGACATTTCCTTACCAAACTAGGTAACATTATCAGTGCTTGAAGAGAGTAGGGTTTACTCTTATTTTGATATACTAGTGGCTTGCTCTGTCAGTGTTGGTGGAAGTGTTTCTTGATTAGGCTGTTATTTACTGTTAGCTTGTTTGTCTGGTAGTTCCTTGATTGGGGTATTATTTACTTCTTGATTATTGCTCCAGTGCTAATCTTGGTGTTAATTTCTGCTCATATGAGGGTTGATTGCTGGCAAGGAAGGGTTTTGGTCTTTTTTCTTGGGGAGGAAGGATTATAATTTGCTTCATACGCCAAAGCCTAAAGTCTTTGATTGTCAAGAATACCTGGCCCACTTCTATAAAATCTCAACATTCTCTCCAGTGCATAGCAAGTAGGATTTCTTATATGGTTTTCTAAATCTTGAGAAGCCCATAAACACGGTTTTGGAGTAATAGAGGACGTAAGCAACTCTAAAGAGCAAGCAACATCATCCCACAGTAATTCAATCCATGTAATTCACTCTACTTGTGCAATCATGTCATGATGCATATGACAATATTGTGGCTTTTGCTGGATATCCATCATGGGGAAGATAAATATACTAGGTATATATGAGTACGTACTGGCTTTCTGCATGGTTGCAGGGCTCCCATTCCCAGTGTATGGAGGGCAGAGGCCATCCACTTGCGGTGCATTGAAGGCTGTGCTCTCTTCCTTTAGTGACCAGCTCAGTATTGGAAAAATCTATCTCCTTTTCATAAATGTGAGGTTTCTCTGAAGAGAAAGAAAATAATACAGCTAGGTCAGCTTTCCTGAGAAAGAAGTCGTAAGTATACATGAAGCAATAAAAGACAAATGTCACACCTGCCACCACCCCTAGTTAGAAACGATCCTTAATTCCATTTGTTGAGAAAGGTATAGTTTTATTAGAAGTCAACTGTGTTGCAGTAATGCAAAGCCAGAACTGAGATTGTGTGCCAAAACCCGTAAATTCAACTTTTCCCTTCCTTAATTCCTTCCCATCTCTGATGCTCCCATGACCAATCAGGTTCAAGCAAGACATTTTCAGAATGGTCAGTACAAGTGTAGGTTGGTATGCAGCTGCCTTCTTCTCCCAGCTGGGTGACCTTGAGGCAGCATCTTGGGGAAATTCAGAGGTTACTTTTGCTTTCCGCCAACCATTCCCTCTCCCATCCACCTTATGTTCATGGCAGATTGTCAATGCATGGTAGCAAAGCATAAGGAAGTATAAGGTGACAGCTGACAACTAGGATCTTCTTAAAGATCTATGCAGTCTTTAAGACCTGTGGACTTCAATTTCCAGAATTCCCCAGCCAATTCTGGGAGTTGAAGTCCATAGGTCTTAGAGTTGCCAAGGTTGGATACCCTTACCATGGTATTTTCCATGTAAGATCTTCAATGTTTTTCCTCTGCATCTCCCTTTCCCCAAATTTAAGGACTGATTCCTGCTCTCTTTTCACCTGCTACTGATTTGGAATAAAAACCATCCTCAACCTCTAGGTTCAATATAGCCACCCATCTTGGTGGACTCTGGCCATCTTACAAAACATAATTTTGCTAGGTGATTAGATGGCCTAGACATTGGTCTTTGTAATATTTATATTCTATTGTATTTTCTTAATCTAGGTGAAATCTCAAAGGTGCTTTTTTCTTCAAAAGGCAACTGGACTGTTTTTTCCTTCTGGAAGTTTTTCTCTTTCTTCCTCAAGGAAAAAACAGCCCAGTTGCCATTTGAAGAAAAGAGCAACTTTGAGACAATCATGATCTGGATGAGTGAGAATCTCTACAAATATCTAGGTGAAATATTAATATATATTGCTAGTCCACATATGATATGCCATACACTAAATAAATAACAAAATATAAATGAATCCTAATGATATTATTATGATCATACTAATAATATAAATACTAAATTAAAGCAATTAAAAAACATAAACAAGACAGAAGGTAGACAGCTCAGACTAAACAATAATTAAAATAAAGCAGGACACCCCTCCCTTAAACAGCACAAATGCAAAACAGTGTTGGCCCTCCAGATGAGTTGAATTATAAACATAGATGCACAGATCTGAACAGACCTGGTCTGCACTAAAATTTGCTCAATATGTCTTTTGTGTGTGTTACAGATTCTGTTCTACAGAGAGTTGGAAAAAATAATCCGCATTCTTTCTCCTTTTTTTGTGATTTACATACTCTTTCCACAAATCTGGGCTGTATTAACACAAGTGACTCAAAAGTCTTTTTGTAATGTTTCCACAGGGTCATTTAAAAAAAAAATTAAACTTAAAACTCAAACTTCTGTCACTAAGCAATGCAGTCATTAACTGAGTTGTTCCTAATTTGATTACCCTTTCAGCCATGGTCATTAAATGAATCACATAGTAGATAAGTGAATCCAGCTTCCCCCGTTAACTTTGCTTGTCAGAAGCCAGACGGAAAGTTTGAAAATGGAGATCACGTGACCCTGGGATGCTGCAACCAACATAAATACATTCCGCTTACCAAATGCCCGAATTTTAAGGGATGTTGCAACAGTTGTAAGCGAGAGGACCAGACATATTTCAGTGTCACTGTAATTGAACATGGTACGGTCAATAATGGAATGGACATAAGTCAAGAACTACCTGTATTCTTTGCCGGCAACTCTTTTGCAAGTGTTAGTAATAAAGAAAAGGATGTGAGCAACAAAAATGCTGAACATTTTTGAGCGTTTCAGGCGATGATCAAAAATGTGCACTGCTCAGTGAAGAAACACATGCAGGTAGTCCTCGACTTGCAACAGTTCACCTAGGGATCATTTGAAGTTACAACAGCACTGAAAAAAGCAACTTAGGACTGTTTTTCACACTTATAACCATTACAGCATCTCCATGGTCACATGACCAAAATTCAGATGCTTGCAGATTGATTCATATGTATGATGGTTGCATGTCCCAGGGTCACATATTCATATTTTGCAATTTTCTGAGAAGCGAAGTCAATGGAGAAGTCAGATTCATTTAACAACTGTGTTACTAATTTAATTACTGCAGTGATTCGCTTTAAAAATGTCGTAAAATGGGGCAAAACTCACTTAACAAATTTCTCATTTTGCAACATAAATTCTGGGGTCGTAAATTGAGGACTACCTGTACTTTGCACACTGAAAGTGCAACCTTGCTTAAAAGGTCACAAAGAAAGGATTTATAAGAGATCTCCTGGTGGAGAGTTTGATTTGGAGAGGCAGTTTCTCTGCTCTCGCATCTCAACTTCCTTCCCCAGTCTGGAGGGATGTGAAGGTTTTGTCAAGATAATCTCATTCCAACTGCTTAACACTACAAGCTTAGAAGGGGAGATTAAACATATCTAGCAATGGGATAAAACCTTTTCTATTTGGTGGCAGGAGTGAACAGATAAATGCTTGAATTCTTTGATTGTAATAATGGATTTTTCCACTTAGCACTCAATTAAAACAATGGCTTATACGAATTGCAGATGCGCTTTTCATTACCCAATTAATTTTTAAAATGTAGATTGCATTATTAAATATTATGTGAAACCTGAAATCAGACCTAATGAATTAGGGAATAAAGTAATCACTGCTGGAGAAACAAAAGAGCAATTATTTACTCTAACCTGGAAAGATAAAGCTATCAAACACACTGTTTTCTTTAAACACACACACACACACATTTGCACACAGAGTTGCATGACTACACAATGATGGAGGAAGTTATAAAGACAGTCTAGGAACGAGCGATGAAAGGAAGGTCTTTGGGTCAGGAAAAGAAAGTTCTCTTTGGTTGATTGTTATTGAGAACAGATTGTCGGCAATGAATCTGCAATAAGAGATTCCTATGGCAACCAAGTTTTCTAGCTGCTTAGGTCTAACGTGCACTTAAATAGTGGCTGCCACAAAAAGGAACATTTTCAAAGTTCTCCACCCCCTGCATAGATTACTACATAAAAAAAAAAAAATGAAGTGACATTATCTGGCATAGCATAACCATATGTTTAAGACTGAACTCTTCTGCTCCTGCCTATGCAAGCATGCCACTCACTAGCCAACTTGTCCACTGGATATCTTACGGCACAGTTTCTTACAACATTTCATTCCAGTGAGGGTGTCCCAGCAGCCTTAAGCACCATGAAGCAGCTCTTTTCCAAGAAAAATTGAAAAGGACAATTCACTGCCCTTTTAGGCTCATCACCCCAAAGTTCTGACTTTCTTCTGTTTGATGACCTTGAGTGAAACAAACCGCCATCGTTCCTTTTCCCTGGTACGACCCATAAAGGTATAGCGTGGTGGAAAACCTCAAGCAAAGAGACAAATGTAATCTTTCGGTTCTTAATTCAGCTATTCCCAGCTGGAGACCCTTTGTAGACCAAGTCAACATACTTTTGAAAGTGATGGTTTTTCTGTCCCAACGTATCTGAGGGAAACCCATTTGAAGAAGTTGGCTTAGATGTTTACCAGGATGAGGAGTAAAGGCTGAGTTGTTTGATTAAATCACATCTCATGATGGAATCCGGTGAGGAGGTGAAAACCAGAGCAGTAAGAGGCAACTCAGCCCAGAGAAAGAGGGTGAAGACAACCCCTCCCTAATGGTTCCCAGAGTATATTGTTGATGTAAAGAGTACAGTCCCCAGATTTTGTCTATAGGTGTGAAACAAGAAAAAGCTCATCTTCAAAGAATTAACAGAATAGAATAACAGAGTTGGAAGGGACCTTGGAGCAGTGGTGAAATCTGAACCGGTTTGCTACCGGTTCGCTGGCCATGCATGCATGTCAAGCACGTGCTGCATGTGCGCATGTGCCGTGTGTGCATGCACAGTGTGCACCAAATGCACATTGCACACACATACACAGTGCACACAAAATGCACGTTGCACGCACGCATGTGCAGTACACGCCAATCATGTGGAAAAAGGAGGCTTTGGAAGGTAAGTATAACAGCGAGGGGGGGGGAACAGCTCTGTCGCATGATTTAAATCGTGCGGCACAGCTGATGGTCGGAAATACCAGTTCAGAGGAACTGGTAGGGTTTTTTTAACGCCACCAGTTCACCTGAACCGGTGCGAACAGGTAGGTTTTCACTGTTGCCTTGGAGGTCTTCTAGTCCAACAGCCTACACAGGCAGGAAATCCATACCATTTCAGACAAATAGATGTCCAATCTCTTCGTTAAAAAGTCCAGTGTTGGAACAATCACAACTTCTGGAGGCAAGCTGTTCCACTGATTAATTGTTCTCGCTGTCAGGAAAATTCTCCTTAGTTCTAGGTTGCTCCTCTCCTTGATTAGTTTCCCTCCATTGCTTTCTGTCCTGCCTTCAGGTGCTTTGGAGAATAGCCTGACTCCCTCTTCTTTGTGGCAGCCCCTCAAATATTGGAACACTGCTGTCATGTCTCCCCTAGTCCTTTTTTTCATTAAACTAAGACATACCTAATTTCTGCAACTGTTCTTTCCATGTTTTAGCCTCCAGCCCCCTAATCATCTCTGTTGCTCTTTTCTGTACTCTTTCTAGAGTCTCAACATCTTTTTTACATAGTGGTGATCAAAACTGGATGCAGCATTCCAAATGTGGTCTTATCAAGGCATTATAAAATGGTATTAACACTTCACCACATGTCATTCTTGCTTTTAAGCCTGACAGATCTCACGAGACAGCTTCCTCTACCTAAATCAAAGCATTTATACCCTGCAAGTTTTGGAAGCCCTCTTCCTAAGGCCCCATTTCACAGAATCACAGAATGCTAGTGCTGAAAGGAAC